TCCAGTACCACTTTGTACTACAAAGCTTGCACAAAGTATTTCCCAGTACTACAAAGCTTGCACAAAGCACTTCCCAGTACTACTTTGTACTACAAAGCTTGCAGAAAGCCCTTCCCAGTACTACATTGCACTACAAAGCTTGCACAAAGCACTTCCCAGCACTACTTTGCACTACAAAGCTTGCACAAAGCACTTCCCAGTACTACTTTGTTCCCAGTACTACTTTGTACTGCAAAGCTTGCACAAAGTCCTTCCCAGTACTACCTTGCACTGCAAAGCTTGCACAAAAAGTTCCCAGTACTACTTTGTACTAAAAAGCTTGCACAAAGCACGTTCCAGTACTACTTGGTACTACAAAGCACAGCTCTTCCCAGTACTACATTGTACTGCAAAGCTTGCCAAAAGTACTTCCCAGTACTACTTTGTACTACAAAGCTTGCACAAAGCACGTTGCAGTACTACTTTGTACTACCAAGCTTGCACAAAGCACTTCCCAGTACTACTTTGTACTATAAAGCTTACACAAAGCACGGCCCAATACTACAAAGCTTGCACAAAGTCTCAGTACTACTTTGTACTACAAAGCTTGCACAGGATACTTCCCAGTACTACTTTGTACTAGGTTGCACACAACACTTCCGAAAACACATCTAGCTTTGGCACACAGCAAGCTTTTCCACAAAGCAAGCTTTTACACGCAGCAAGCTTTTGCTACACAAAGAACGCATTAACACACAGCAAGCTTTTACACAGAAAAGCTTTTACACAAAGAAAGCTTTTACACAGAAAGCTTTTACACACAGAAAGCTTTTACACACAGAAAGCTTTTACACAGAGACGTTTTTACACGGAGAAACGTTCTGGCTCATAATGACAATAGAAATTGCAGCTCCAAAACCGGATCTCGACGCCAAAACGAAAAAAAAAAGACAATTTTGAAACACTTTTGAAAGGAAAATTATTAGCGCAAAAATTGAGAAAATCTGCTCACAAATCACTGTCGCAGCCTTGATGCAGCCACCCCAATACTATTTACGAGATCCAGCTGCAAAAGAGACTAGGATGACGCATGCAGCCGTGGAGCCAAGCAACCTTGACGCAGCCATCACGATGCATTTTTCAGCATGACTTGGCTAACCCGCATGTATTTACGCACATGGCAACACCAGATGACAACAATCATGCAGCCATTCCAATGCGATCTGCAACCACAGATTCAAGAAACGTATAGAACTACGAACACAGGAACAACCACTCCTTGCAGGACACAGAGGAGGAACCGATTGACCTCGAAACGATCCAAACCGCACCGGCCGCACACAGGAGGTACCCTTCATCGCCAGCTGCAGCCACTTTACACGGAAAAACACAAGGTTTCGTGCTCCGGCTTCCTCCCAACACAAGCCCCATGCAACATTCATGCAGCCATCACAATGCATTTTGAAGCATGACGTGGCTAACCCGCATGTATTTACGCACATGGCAACACCAGATGACAACAATCATGTTGCCATTACACGAGTGTATTGTTATGTGATGTCAAGTCTCACACCACAGTCTCGCACCACCCTTCATTGAGTGTATTCTTATGTGATGTCAAGTCTCACACCACAGTCTCGCACCACCCTGCATTGAGCGAATTCTTATGTGATGTCAAGTCTCACACCACAGTCTCACACCACCCTTCATTGAATGTATTCTTATGTGATGTCAAGTCTCACACCACCCTTCATTGAGTGTATTGTTACAGGTGAAAGTCATCCGTAACTCGGAAGGTTGCTTCCCAACTTCCTTTGATGATACATTTATGGTCATGATTCCACTTGTGCCACTTCAATGTGCCAGCAAAGCTGGGCGCCTTCCATTTGAGGCGATGATGGACAACCTGATTCTGACCGTTGGGCAGGCCATTGCTTTTGACATCAAAAATATGACCAAGTTCAAATGAGCAGAGGTCCACAGTGGCCTAAAATGATCAAAACCTTGTCCCCAATGTTTATGCAATGGTGCAACTTGCGCAACGCCGATTTACATGGGATTCACACGGCTGTGGAAATCACGAGCACTTGACCAAAGCAATATCCATGCGTGTTCAGGCTTGAGCGAATGCCAAAGCCTTTTTTGGCACAATCCCCTGCCCATGGATGGGCCTCGCGTTTTGGCGAAAATAGGGCCTGCGTCCTCCGCTGCCACTGAGCACATTGCTCAGTGGTAGCGGAGCCTGATGGCATCCGAACCTAGCGCTCCAGTGGCGACCTTTGAGAGGGAACCTCCACCACCTACTTGGGACGGAACAGACTGAGACGGAGAAGAAGAAGCAAGGAGTGAGATTGAGGGCTGACAGGTGTGGCTCGAGCAGCCGCCGATGCCTTGGAGTTCGAGCAGCTGGCGGACGACAAAGGAGTTGAGAATATCTTACAGAAGTTGCAGGAGCACTTTGCACCCCACCTGGAAGTCTCCTTACCGCGAGCCTTCGAGCGAGCAATCTATGGAGCTCCTCGCTCGCAGAAGGAAGATATCAACGAGTATATCATCAGGTGCGAGCTTTCTACCCTCTCAGCAAAGAGGGTGTCACACTGCCAGACACCGCACTAGGATACGTGATGTATCGTCAGGCGGCCCTTTCAGATAGCCAAGAACTCCGCTTTGGTGCATGGGCGAACGGACAGTATGACAAGGCAACAGTCGTGACATGCTTACGCAAGCTGGATAAGGTGGTGACCTCTGAAAAGGGGAGAGCTCGGTGGCATTTGTGCAGGACGATGGTGAACCAGATCAAGAAGATGATTCCGACGGCGAAGGTGACGCCGATGAGAACGAGGAGCAGTACGCCTTCTTGGATGAAGGCGACATGAACAGAGTCTTTGAAGAACCAGAGCTGCAGGTGGTGTTGGCCTCCTATCAGGAGGTGCGCAAGGCCATACAGAACAAACAGAAGGGCAGACAGTTCTTCAAGGGCAAAGGGCGAGGCTCACCATGGCAGAACTTCACAAAAGGCAAGCAAAGAGTCCACATATAGAGCAGTTGAAGCTGCGCACACGTTGTGCAAAGTGCGGTGCCATATATAGGGCACTGGGCACGCGAATGTCGTGCTCCAGAAGATCAACGTGGTCGTGGTGCTGGTGGGTCTTCCAAGGCCTCTACATCACCAGCACCTACCATGGCAAGCGGCGTGCAGCAGTCTTGGTACGTTGCTTCAGATGCCAGTGGAATCTTGCCTGAAAACCTTTTAAGTTTTTCTCTTGAGTGTCGGGGTCATGACACTCTTAATGCCTGAAAGATCTGAAGTTCTGGATGTTACCAGTTCGGATGGTAAAACCAGAGTTGGATCTCAGGATGAACCTCTCGGTTTTGACGTGAGGGGAAATTTAGATGTTTTTAGAGGGTCTCAGTTGGCTTCAAGTCAAAGCGACCAGAGAAGCAGCAGCCTGTATTTCGTCGGCTTGACAACTTGCCCGACAATGGCATTGGCTGATACTGCAGCTCAAGATGGGCTTGTTGGGCGTGACGCATTGCAGCAGCTGTCGCAAAAATTGCACTCATTTGGTTTGAAAGTGAAGTGGACAGACAAGAAGGCAAAAGCTCATGGAGCAGGAGGTCAAGCCGAAGTACTTGGAATAGCAGCAGTACCACTAGGTCTAGCAGGATCATCTGGTGCTGTTTTGGAAGTTACAGTTGTTAGTGGGGACGTTCCTCTTTTGCTTCCCAGTCGCATGTTGAAAGACTTGCAAGCAGTGATTGATTTGGAGAGTGGTCGCATGACATTGAAGCGTTTGCAGCAGACGGTCGAATTGCACACCATGCCAAGTGGTCATGTTGCAGTGGATATTCCCAATTTTGAATCATCTGGTTTTTCATTCCTTCTTCAAGCGAAAGATGTCGGATATTCAGAAGCTGATTTTCGATTCACTGGCAGCACAGGCTCGAGCTGCGTGATGCTCACTCACCTGAACTCGTTCGTGACCAGTCTTGATCATGTCGGAGCGCCTTGCTCTCTTTCGCCGTGCCTTCAACCGAACTCCTGGCGATGTGGTGATGGCCACTGGGCAGCCGGCGAATGCTCGCCACAACTCTCAGCGAGCATGGGCGCACTGGCGACAGGTGATGGACAAGGTTATCCTCATCCAGCAGGTGGTTGGACTGGAGGAGTCAGTGAATTCGTGGCTTCCGTCCGAAGTGACAGGAGCTAATGGTACCTTCGTCTCAAATCTCCTCAAAGCAATTGGCCGAGCTGATCCTTACAGGAGCGACTGACGACGGCCTCAAACCAGTACCAGACATGGGCGGTGTGTTGGGACTGCCACTCCATGCAGATGGAAGTTGCCGTCAGAGTTCCACCGTCCGGCGAGCCCAAGGAAAGCGAAGACCAAAGTGGGTGCGTCGAGTTCGGCATCCGACGCCTTCAGAGTCGAGATGAAGGATCGCCTGGAGACGGAGATCAGAGCCGAGTTTGCCAGCAAGGTGCAGGAGCAGGCGCTCAACAGCCAGCACATGCTGATGCAGCTGAGGGACTCGAATGCAGAGATAGATCACTTGAAGGAGCGCCTCAATCGACAGGCAATGGCAAACTTGGAGGAGATGGGTCAGTTGCAATGCATGATGGAGGAGGATCAGAAGATGAAAATCCACCTGAGTCAGATCCAATGGCACGAGAAGGTGAGGTCGGTGATGATGGACGAGTACGCCACCATGGCGATGGGCAAGACCTACCAGGAGGCCTCAGCATACCACCATGCCGAGATGTACCAGTATGCCGAGAGGATCGTTCAGGCGGAGGAAGCGACCCAGAGGGAGTCGGAGGTGTTGGACAGGCTGCGCACCGAGAAGCAGGAGGAAGCTTCCACCAGACGGGAGCACAAGAGTGGACGATGTCCAATGCAACAGCCTCCCAATCCAGGCTGTCTGGGTGAACGTCAGCGGAGACGGCATGATTGAGCGTGTGGAGGCCTTCAGCAAGTGCCCACATTTCAGTTTGCAGAGTGTGTTTGTGAAAGATCAATATGAAACCTTTGCTGTTCAAAATGTTGAAGAGTTGGCTTTTGAAGATGAATGTTTTTGTGTTATGAAAAGGAGTCAGAAAGATGTTGTTGAAGATTTTGTGGATGATGTTGAAGAAACAGCGCTTCCAAAGAAGCTCAAAAATCAGTTACGTAGGGCTCTGAAGGATGCAGTCTCTCAAGAGATGTTCGCGGTCGAGGTCAGCGAAGGTGGTTTACCGAGAGGGGCAATCGCCGATGTTGAAAAGGTTGATGTTTGTTTTGGTAGTTGCGCTGTCGAGGTCAGCGCCTGTGACTCATCGAGAGTGGTTAGCACACGTAGTTCTGGCACTGTCGAGGTCAGTGCCTGCAGCTCACCGAGAGGGGCGGCTGCAGCGGCCAAAGACACGTACGCTGTCGAGGTCAGCGAAGTGTACAGCCCACCGAGAGTGGTGGACATGGCCAAGAAATATAAGTTGAAGACCGGTGCGTCTTATGACATCCTGACAGGATATGACCTGCGCATGAAAAGGGATCTGGACAGTATGTGGCGAAATTTGCACTTGGAGGAGCCAGAGCTGACGCTCATCAGTCCACCTTGCACACCTTTCTCACCGCTGCAAGAATGGAACTTTCCTCGCATGCTTTTTGAGAAGGTGGCGGTGATGGTTGGAGAAGGCCTACATCATGTTTCCACATCCTGCAAGGTCGCAAAATGGCAACATTCCCAGGGCAGGCTTTTCTTGTTTGAGCACCCCAAACCTTCGAAGGCTTCGGATGAGCCCGAGATGATCGAGCTCATGACGCTGCCTCGGGTTTACGTCTGACCAATGCGCCTACGGTCTCCAAGTGGACTCAGGCCTCAACAGAAAGGCAACTCAGTTTGTGACCACCTCGCGGCATATCGCCATCGAGTTGCAGAGAAGGTGCAGCGGAGACCATGACCATCAACCGCTGACAAATGGTCGAGCAGAAAAATAAGCGGCCATCTATCCTCCAGAGCTTTGTAGGGCCATCATCCGAGGTCTGAAGAGGCACTTGAGGGAGAAGGAGAAACACACAGCACTTTTTCTGGAGATTCCAAAAGAGATCACAGTGCTGACGACGGAGAACCAAGTTGGGCATGAACTTGACGACTCTGAAGACATTCTGCCTCAAGAGGTAGCAGAACATAGAAGGGCGACAAGATTATAGCCCACCGTCTTCAACTTGCACAAAGGCCCGTCACCAATGAGGATAAGGCGAAGGTTCTCAAGATGCACAACAACTTGGGTCATCCAGCTCTTGACAGTTTTGTGAGGTTTCTTCGCGCAGGCCGTGTTCGAGATGAAGTTGTCAGATGGGTTCTCAAAGAATTCAGGTGTGAAACATGCGCCAGCCAAGTGGTTCCCAAAGCTCCAAGACCAGCGGCGGTTCCAAAATGCCACAAACCTGGAGTAGCGGTTGGAATGGACTTGTTCTACATCCCAGACCCTAAGAAGACCCGGTCTCTTCCAGTTCTCAATGTAGTTGACATTGGCACCAACTACCAGGTCATTGAGCTGCTCGAGGACAAGGACGCGATCAGCATCTGGAGAGCGTTTTGGGCTTGCTGGTGCAGAGTCTTTGGAGCCCCTCAATATTTAGCAGTTGATGAAGGTTTGGAGTTCAGAGGACAGTTCACGCAGCGGTGTTCCAACTATGGGATTCTGGTTTTTCGTGCAGCTGCACGGTCACCATGGCAGCAGGGGAAAGTTGAGAGACATGGAGGATTGATGAAAACTATGATAGAGCATGCAAGAGCGACTGCCTCCATTGAAAGCAATCAAGATCTCAAGCTTCTCTGCAAGAGTGCGAGAGCGCAAAGAATCGGTTCATGAACCGCTCTGGATATAGCCCGGTTCAGAGGCAGATTGGGCAGTGGCCTCGACTTCCTGGCTCGCTGATGAGCGATGAGTTTTTGGATCCGGCGCTGCAGCTCCAGAACACATCAGACGAGTTTGATCATCTTTTGGAATTGCGCCGGCTTGCTCAGGAAGCCTGTGTCGCGAGGTCAAGGATTCAGAGAATCTTCAAAGCTGGAGATGTGGTTTACGTTTACAGAGCATTGCGTAGGAAGAAAAGTGTGAGAGGCCTTTCAGCCGCCAGAGGCCATGGTTTGGGCCGCAAGGCCACGTGGGTTGGCCCGGGTCATGTTCTAGTTCCGGAAGGTTCAGTGGTATGGATCAACATGTTTGGAGAGCTTTGGCGTGCTTCCATTGAGCAAGCCAGAGAGGCCACAACAATGGAAAAGCTCGGAGTGGAGATGGTTGCTGAAGGATTCCAAGAGATGCAGGAGCGCCTCAAGAGAAGCTCTCACAAGGCTGGCTATCGAGACGTTACTCAAGACACCGAGGAGCTTGAAGATATGCCAGCTGATGAAGAAGGCCAGCGCCGTGGGCAGCCCGAGTGCGTTTTGCTCTACAAGACGATGTCACAACTCATCGTAGCGAGATGCCTTCGCAAGACCTTCCAGCTGTGCCAGAAGAGGAGTTTGAGGAGTCAGAGGATGAGGAGCTGCAAACACGGCACGATCAACGACGTGCTTCTAGGGCGACTGTTCCAGAGCCAGATGCCGAAGGTTCAGTGCGTGAGCCCAACATGGCGGATGTCGAGTCAGTTTTTGACGATCATGCCGAGGAGGAGACAATGCAGAGCATGGCAAGTTCAGTGCAGGAGAATGAGAATCTGGACGGGGTTCCAGAGAGTTATGAAGCAGCTAAGCCGCACCATACTTTGCAGAGTTCTTTCTGCAGACAGGTGAGGCAGAGGATGTAGAGGAGCTCACGGCAGATGACCCAACGAAAGACTATTGGGTCTATGATGACTGTCGAGGCATTTTGCAGCGACATCATGTCCATTGGCGCAAGGCTCTTTTCAGCCCTGCTCAGACGGAAGGATGTCCCATCCCTCTGAGAGCCATTCGTGCAGGGCGCACGACCAAGAGGGTTGAAGCTTGTGGATCCACGCAAGAAGTCGTGGATGAGTGGTCGCTCTTCACCAAGAAGGAGGAGAGATACACATGGCGGAAGGGCGTGACTGAATTTGCAGTAGACAAGCACTACCTGCAGACGTTCAAAGGGCCACCAGCCAAGAAGAGAGGAGAGGGCGAAGTTTTCTCTCATGAGATACCCAAAGAGGAGTGGCCTGAATGGGAAAAACAGGATGCAGAAGAGTTTGGCAAGATCATCTCAAGTGGCGCGCTTAGGATTTTGAGCGTTGAGGAGAGCGCTAAAGTGCAGAAGGAGTTGAAAGGGGCAGGTCAGGTCAATAGGATCCTGCCGACCCGCATGGTCAGGCGTTATAAACCAGGAGACGGCCCTGGTGCGCCTCGAACCAAGAAGTCAAGGTTCTGCATCAGAGGAGACCGGGATCCAGACATTGCCGATCTAACTCGTTTCGCTCCTACAGTCACAACCTCAAATTTGCAAGTCCTCATTCAAGCTGCAATGAACAAAGGGTTCAAAGGTTTGGTAGGAGACCTCAAGGCTGCGTTTACTCAGAGCTTGCCGCTGTTCAGAAGTGCCGGCAAGCTGTACTGCCGTTCTTGCGACGGCAGCATGCCAGGTTTGCAAGAAGGACAGATTGCTGAGATTGTCCTGGGGTGCTATGGGCTTTGTGATGCGCTGATGCATTGGCGGAAGACGCTAGTGCAGTTCCTCACGTCAGAGCTTGGATACCGGCAGAGCTGTCTTGATCCCTGCACCCTTCTTCTTCATGGCCCTCAAGGTTTACATGGCATGGATGCGGTGGAGATTGATTATTTATTGATGTTTGGAGATGAAATGCATGATTCAAAAATGGCCGTTTTGCAAAAGAAGTTCACATTTGGAAAGATTCAAGAGATCAACGGAGAAGGTGTGAGCTTTAATGGAAGAAGGCTTCGCCGTTTTGGCGACACCATGGTCATAGACATGAAGGCCTTTGTGGAGGAGCTTTTGAACCCAGTTCCTCTCAGCAAAGAGAGGGCAAAACAGAAGCAGGAACGTTTGACAGATGAGGAGATCAGTGAAGTTCGCAAGACTTGTGGATCGCTCAACTGGGCGGGACGCGAGGGACATCCTGACGCTGCAGCTGCGGCATCCTTGTTTGCTTCCATGATGGTGGAGATGAAGGTATCCGATGTGTTTGAGCTCAATCGAGTGGTTGACCGCTTGAAGGAGTCATCGGATTTAGCACTGCAGATTCAGCGCATTGAGGAGAAGAATGTGCGCTAGGGAGTGATATCTGATGCTTCATGGGGAAACGCTCGCGGGGGCAAAACACAAGGAGGGCATATGCTGATCACGTTTGACCGCACAATGCTGGATGGTCGACGTGCAGTTTGCAATCTTCTTCACTGGAAGAGCGGGAAGTTGCACAGGACAGTCAACAGTACTTTGGCTGCAGAGACACAGTCTTTGGCGCGGGGAGTTGGAGACCTTTGGATGATGGTGATGTATTTTGAAATCACCAACAGAGATTTCCAACTTCGAGAATGACGAAAGTATGTTCGCCAAGCCAGTTACACCGCATTCTCCAAAAATGAAGATGAAGAGAAGGCAGCTGATGCGCTGGCGCTGGTGGATGCGAAGTCTCTCTATGACCTCCTCTCCAACGAGACGAGCGGTGGTGGTGATCGCCGTACGGCGCTGGATGTGCAGATGCTTCGCGAAGAACTGAGTGAGCTGAGTGGAAAAATTCGCTGGATAGATCATGTCCACATGCCTGCTGATTGCCTGGCCAAAAAGTCAGGTCGATTTGATTCTTTGTTTGAGATGCTTCGTACAGGCATGTTTGGCATCACGGATGAATCAACTACTTTAGAAGATAGGAAGGAGACACGAAAGCAGGTAGGATACAACCGTAGGTGACGAAGATGCTTTGGTCAACAGAAGTTTCGTGGTGCTGTGGAAATCATGAGCACTTGACCAAAGCAATATCCATGCGTGTTCAGGCTTGAGCGAATGCCAAAGCCTTTTTGGCACAATCCCCTGCCCATGGATGGGCCTCGCGTTTTGGCGAAAATAGGGCCTGCGTCCTCCGCTGCCACTGAGCACATTGCTCAACGGTAATTATCACCATGCATGCGGAATTCGCCCGGTTGAAATTAAATAGTTCGAAACGCTGTGTAAAGGTGTCTGTGTGCAAATGCATCCGTGCGTAAAAGCGTCTGTGTGTAAACGCTTGTGTGTGTGTGTGTAAACGCTGCTCTGCGTAAAAGCTTCTGTGTGTAAAGGCGTCTCTGTGTAAATGCTGCCGTGTAAAAAGGCGTCTGTGTAAAAGGTTCTCTTTGAAAAAGCTTCTGTGTGTAAGGGCGTCTGTGTGTAAAATCTGCTTTGTATAAAGGCTTCTCTGTGTAAAAGCTTCTGTGTGTGTGTGTAAAGGCGTCTGTGTGTAAAAGCGATTTTTCATTCTCTGCGGCAACCCTTTCGCATGAGATGAGGGTCAAGTGTCAAAAACTCAGGTGAAATTGCGATTATGAAGGGTCGGCGGCAAGTTCTCTGTGTTAAAGCGTCTCTGTGTAAAAGCTTCTGTGTGTAAGAGCTTGTGTGCGTAAAGCTTCTGTGGGTAAAGCGTCTGTGTCTGTGTGTAAAAGCTGCTCCGTGTAAAAGGATCTCTGTGTAAAAAGATCTCTATGTAAAAGGCTTCTGTGTGTAAAAGCGCCTGTGCGTAAAAGCGTCCGTGTGTAAACGCTTGTGTGTAAACCCTGCTCTGTGTAAAAGCTTCTGTGTGTAAAGGCATCTGTGTGTGCACGCTTGTGTGTAAACGCTGCTCTGTGTAAAAGCTTCTGTGTGTAAAGACTTCGGTGTGTAAATGCTTCCGTGCGTAAAAGCGTGTCTGCGCGTGTTTGTGTAAACGCTTCTGTGTGTGTAAACGCTGCTCTGTGTAAAAGCTTCTGTGTGTAAAGGCGTCTGTGTGTAAATGCTTCCGTGCGTAGAAGCGTCTGTGTGTAAAGGCGTCTGTGTCTAAATGGTTCTCTGCGTCAAAGTTTCCGAGTGTAAAGGCGTCTGTGTGTAAATACTTCCGTGTATAAAGGCGTCTGTGTATAAAAGGTTGTCTCTGTGTAAAAACTTCAGGCATCATCAGACATCCTTTTTGACACTTGACCCTCACTATATTGGACAGAATGATATTTGTTTTACCATGATGAAGTTTCAGATCTGGAAGTGAAGATTCAGATATGGATGTGGGTTCTCAATGGCTGAGCCCCCAATCAGGTGGGAACAAGAAGGATGACAAGGATGACTAAGACGATTCACCATGCGCAGAAAATGGACAAAAAGGGCAGCCGGTTGCCAAGTAGCCCGTATGGTATATAAACATACATACACACATACACACATACATACATATACATACATATACATATACATACATACATGCATGCATATACATATACATATACATATACATATACATATACATATACATACACATACATATACATACATATACATACATATACATACATATACATACATATACATACATATACATACATATACATACATATACATACATACACATACATATACATACATATACATACATATACATACATATACATACATATACATACATATACATTCATATACATACATATACATACATATACATACATATACATACATATACATACATATACATACATATACATACATATACATACATATACATACATATACATACAGATACATACAGATACATACATATACATACAGATACATACAGATACATACAGATACATACAGATACATACAGATACATACATATACATACAGATACATACATCTACATACATATACAAACATATACATACATATACATACATATATTACAATAACATATACATATACATTAACCTACCTTACCTACATATACCTACATATACTACCATATAATCGCTACATAGTACATGCATATACGTCTACACATACATACCATATACATACATATACCTACACATACATACATATACATACATATACATACAGATACATACAGATACATACAGATACATACGTATACATACATATACATACATATACATACATATACATACATATACATACATATACATACATATACATACATATACATACATATACATACATTTACATACATACGTACATACATTTACATACATATACATACATTTACATACATTTACATGCATTTACATGCATTTACATGCGTATACATACATATACATACATACACATACATACACATACATACACATACATACACATACATACACATACATACACATACATACACATACATACACATACATACACATACATACACATACATACACATACATTCACATACATACACATACATACACATACATACACATACATATACATACATACAGAAACATACACATACATACACATACATACACATACATACACAAACATACACATACATACACATACATACACATACATACACAAACATACACAAACATACACAAACATACACATACATACACATACATACACATACATACACATA